AGAGGCTCCAATAAGATTATAATAGTGGTGTGCTAGATTGAAGTGTTCATCTATTTCAAACCTTCGTAAAAGTTTGGTGCATCCATCAGAAGTTGAGTCATATTTGAAGAGCATCAGTGTCATTATTGGATTGACTGGTGCCTCAGCTATACTGGTCTAATATATAAAAATGAATGTTTGTTGGTTGGTTTGTTGGTTGGTTGGTTGATTGATTGGTAAGATTGGTAAGAATTGGTTATATCAAACTTCTACACTTAATTAATATTATTGGAATGTAATTTGAAATTATTTATGTCACTTGCGATTTTACCATCAATAAAGTGTCCAATTCACCCTTTCTACTTTCAATACTACACGTTTTTTCGTACTGTACTCATTTTAAAGTTATGAAATTGGCTCATCAACTCATAACTTCATCCAAGACTCAACTGATAACTTAACACCCCACTCAAGACTATTTACTTCTGGCTGTTGCGCTACTGACAATGCGAAATATGAGGTGGGTGGATTTTCTTGACACAGAACGATTTTACGTTTCTGAGCTGACTTATTTCAGTTGGCATCAACAATACCGCCTTATCATTTTAACAGTGTGTGGGAACGTGTGACATCAAAGTGTGGATTGTCAATTATTTAACTTCTCAAGTCATTCACATCTAGAACAGGAGTTTTATATGAAAAGAATGTAGAGGATTCATATCGGAACTGCGAGCTGGCCAATTATGAGATGTTATCTTTGTGCTTTTGGTGTATTAGGCAGACTGTTTCTGAAATAAAGAGGCAGTAGACTGTTAAGATGTGATGTGCTAAAAAAAGGGGCTCACAGGAATCTTGCACTCTAGCTCTGGTAATGAATCTCACTGCTCTTTTTTGTATTGTGAGAACTTGACTCATTAAATTTTGACAGCTGCTCCCCCAGAAACAATTTCCGTACCGCAAGTGGGACTCAAAAAGTGCAAAATATGCTTTTCTAGCAGATTGATAGTCCAAAAGGTAAGAGATGGACCTTATCGCATAACAACTTGAGGATAATTTATTGCATGGAATACTAATAGGCGTGTTCTTCAAGAATTATATCTGTTTAAAATATGTTCTGTTTAAAATATGTTTTTCCGTTAATCAGCTGTCGCCCCCATACTCAGAAGTTTAGCAACTTGTGCGAGTCAAGGACTAACGAGGTCTTACCTTTTAACGTGTGATTTCTAACATGGTCCAGGTTACATTTAAAGGGCATTATATTAGTCTTTGATATATTGAAAGATAATAAATTGGCATCACACGATTGATTAACTTTGCCTATATCATGCTCTACCCTAATTTTATTTATTTGTAGCTTCTGCTATGATATCTAATACAGTGTTTGGCAGTCTAAGGAAAATTTTGAGTAAGAGATCAGCCCATCCTGAAGAGTTTTTATTTTTTATGCTAGAGAGGTTTCAAACTAGTCAGGACTACATAAGCGCCTCATTACTTCAAATAACTGTAGCAAATTTCAACNTATCCATGATATTTTATAAATACTTTTTCTTCAACTTCAACGCTCGGTATCTCAGAAACGAGTTCATAAGAACATTTTTTCTTAAAACGGCCCAACGAATCACCCCCTGAAGTTTCGAACCGTAGTTGAAAAACACCCTGTATTTCCTTTTGTTCCGAAATAGCGAATCAAAACACATCAATCAAGAAAATCGTCGATAATGTCCTCAGACTTGGTTTTTGCTTTGTGTTTTGCGAAATGCAGCCAAATCTCTAGCTGCTTGTCAGAGATAACAAATGAAGTAGCACACGTTTCAATAAATCATGCATATGAGAAGCAGGTCATTAGTCAATAAGTTCAGAATCGGATGAATTTGGGCTGAGCAAAGATCTCATCGGAATTATGGAATGCCTCTAGACGAACAAAAAGCTGGTATTTTCCATTGAGATTCTGTCGCTGGATAAGTTCCTCAATAATAATTCAATAATAGCTCATTATTCATATTACATTTATCTTCCTCTTCGACAAGTATATTTTGGAACTTCTGGGGTAAAATGAATTTATTGAAAACATTCTTCCACCAGAGCAAAAATCCTGTTTCTCGACGCGCGTTCATCAGGAGATGATTGAGATTACAGTTGTCTTGGTAGATGCGGAAAAGAAGGGTTTCGGCCTTGTACTTCTTCATCTTTCTAGAAAAAAAGTGGAATCCTCTATAGAAGAAAAGAAAACAAAAAGTAATTAATTTCAAACTAGACTCTTTACAAAGATAGGTAGGCCATGCAAAGACGTAACTTTGATACACAAACTGGTATATGTTTTTTTCATTAACTATTCGGTCGTCAGCCGATATATATGACTGATCACTATTGAGGTTTCGTACTGCTGAAACATAATAATAATAATACTCGAGGGGATAACTGTGGCACCCCCGGAAACCGGAGGCACAAGGTCACCCATTCGTTTTATATGGATGATCCTAAACATCATGCCTGTGGAGAGAAGGATCTACATCAGTCCTTGAGGGTGGCGGAAGAGCCACGCATGCTACTAACAATTTCAAAATAAATTAAGTTTCGCAAAGCTTAAATTTCAGTTGTGTAGTAAGAATATCTCTATTGGGAGAAATTTGTCTGAGAATGTTATAAGATGATTCACAAAGACGTCTGGTATGTTTAGAAAATCTCAAATCAGAGTCAATCTACAAACTCCAAGTTTTTACTTTCAGATGTGGAGGGCAAAACATCATTTATGTGGATCTTGATGAGGTTAGAATCAATCTCCTTTTGGATTTGGGTCCAAATAACATACATGATGAATTTTTCAATCAATTCCAAGTTATTTCAGTAAAGCTTGATCAAAGTAAAGCTTTGATTTCGATTTGATTATCAGCAAGCTCAAGTTCATAGGCCGATCACAGAGGATCAAAGTGGATGATTACTCATGATCATCCATAATAGAAACAATCTCAGGTGTACCGCAGGAAAGTATTTTAGGACCCTTGATGTTTTCAGTGTTCATTTTTGATCACCCCACGTTCTTATCACATTGTCAAGTACATCTATACGCAGATGATATACAGTTATATTTGTCTTCTCATAACACCGATACAGAAAGTTGCGTGGCCAATATAAAAGGGGTGAAAGGTAGCCTTTGGCTAACCCTTTTCCTTTTATGTATAAATGTATTGTTTATTATTATTATCATGTGCTTATGAGATGTACAGTGAACTGACATCTTCATTTATGAGTTTTTGTGTTTGAAGGTTGTTTTCCGAAAATGATAGTTGAATTTGAGTATTACCAGCGTAGTAGACAATATTGCGAAATCCTATACTTTTGTAGAAATCCAAGATATAGATGTTGAATGAAAGAGGTCCAAGGCTGCAAACTTATGGAACCCCGAACTTGGTATTTAGAACTGCTGATTTGTAGTGATCAAGGCTGATACAGTGAGTTGGGTGTTTCAGAAAGATATTGATAAGATCTGTGGCAAACCAAAGTGATTTAGTTCCTTGCATAAAAGACTACGGTCTAAGGTATCAAAAGCTTTACTGAATTCCAATAAAACTAAATATGTAATATTATTTTTATCGGTTGCTTTGAAAATATCATCAGTTATGGAGAGGATAGCAGAAGTAGTACCATGTTGAGAATAAATATTACAATAAATTTGCCTTTTATCTAGTTTTGTATGTACATATAACTATTGATAAATGAAAAACATGCAGTACATACTTCCTATGAAATTCATTCATTTTATTCAAAACGACATACAAAATTATGACTATCATCTTAAAATTAAAACAACATCAAGTACCGTTTTCTTTCTTGTGTACAGTAAACTTGGCAGCGTCCTGGTCGAAACAGTTGGCCCAATATTTGTCTATAGTATGATATAAATGCTTAGAGACTCCGGATAATGAATGAGCTTCATCAGGGTAAGTCTGGAAAAAAAAAGATATTGTATTCTGAACTGTATTCGCTCGTTAGATGAATTCAGTAAATGGATCCCAATACTCCAGGTAGTTTCGTTGGGTTGTATTTCAATTTTGATGGCCTTTTTTCCTTTCTTCTCTTCACCGGTTAAGAGGGGTTTCCATATATTGCGTATCTCCACGCTAGCTTGACTGAATGCGTCGTTGAACAACATATATGCAGCTTCTTTGAACTTTCTCTCATACCCGGGTTCCTCCTTGTGCATGACTTCAGCTTTGAACCACTTGATGTTATGTTGATGAGTCCAAACATGCTCTGCTATTTCAGCAGAGTATGTTTGGACGAGGTCTCACGTTTTGACATGCGACTCGCAATTTATAAAAGACCTTATCCGAAATTGCAGTTTTTTGTTAGAATAGTAACAGAAGTATGTATCTCATTTCAATATGACTTTCTTGTAACCAATTTGATATTTCTTAAGTAGTTCAGTAAACGCTATTATTATTATAAGTATTGTTACCTGCTGCCTGAAGTCGATATCAGCATACTTCAAAGCTTTCACTAGGAGCATTGAATTTTGATAATGTACGTTATCATCCCCACTTCCATGAATGATGAAATAATTCCTTCCTTCGAAAAGTTTTGCCATTCGGGTTACATCTGAATTATTATATCCTAGCTCGTTGTCTTCAGGGGTGGGCAAACCCATATATCGCTCAGTGTAGATGCTATCTGAAAGACAAATATAAATAAAGAACAAGAATTATCTATTTCTATAAGACGAGAGAGTTTTCCGATCATATCAAGATCAAATTCACAAACAGTTTGTTAACTGTAATGGATGACATGCCAACTGTCACTTATCATCTGTATCTGTAGGGTAGGGAGGGTTTCGATAACAGAGTTGGCATCATCAGATGACAGTTTGAGTCATCTTCTGTTCAGTCATTAATTCATTCACTCATGAAAATAATCTTTTCTAAATCTAATACAGTGATTTTATTTAATTCAGGATATATTTCCTCACCGTAATATATGAAACTAGTAACGGGTGCAATAGCAAGTGCAAAATTGAAAACATGATCCTTATCTTTGGCTAAGATCCAGCTTGATGCAAATCCTCCATAACTCCAACCCCAAATTCCCGTCTTCGTTGAATCGATATAGTGGAGACGTTCCTGAAGATACCTGTGACAAAAAT